TTCCCAGAGACTCCTTAGAAAAACAAATGCAGTGCAAGGCTCATCACGGTTCCTCCGCATCGCTTGACCCCAGTGCAAATGTGTAACATGGTTCCTTGCCACATACATACCACAACCCTATAGAAACAATCTCATGAGTCACGAAGGAGCCTGTTTCAATCCTGAAATCATGCTGCCTGCATTTCCAGAATTACAGCATGGCCCACACAGGGGCTTTGCTCCCATGCTCCCCAAACACGCAAACCTTTGTGTCTGTCTGTGCTATTGTTCTTTAACATGACATCTAGCCTGAAGAGGAGTACTGCAAAACTGGCTAACTATATCGCAACTTTCTGGCAGGCGCTAACAGAAATATTACTCTGTTGAAATTTTATTTTATTTTAAAGACTGCAAATGCTTTATTGACATAATCACTTAAAGCTTTATTTTCTTGAACATTTTCATTATAAAATAATGGATTATCCTTTTTCCCCTTCCAGGCCAAAAGCTTGGACCGTTGTGGTGGGGGGATGTGAATCAGATGATACAGAACTACTGCAACCTTTTTTAAACCTTCTCCTGAATTTGATGACCCTAATGATGATATTACCTCACTTTGAAACTGCAATTGTATGATTAATCCGATACTTTTTCTTCATTATGAAGTGTCACAGAAATCACATTCATTTTGCTTTTGTTCATCTAGTTAATATATTCCACAGAGAGATTACAGAAAGGCTTTCTCTATTTTGGGAAAAAGAAAAAGGACCCTGATGATTAATTGGCATCCCTTTGCTTCTTTTAGTTCCCTTTGTTTAACCACCTCACATTGCTGACTGCCTAGCTTGTAGTTATAGCCACGGGGGTATGGGGAGGGTGGGGGGAGGTATGCATGCAGGACAGCGAGAGAATTAGACATTTGCTACATACATTTTGGGTGAAAATCCTACCAACATCTCTCTCTGGCTCTCACTGCCCCTAAGATCAGTTATGGCGCTTTGACCCACCAACTATTCTACCTTCCTGCCAAAGGACAAGGGATTTGAGTGTGTCCTTGTGAGAACACGTCACAGAGGTCTGTACTTTGAGAAAACTTGAGCTCATCAAGGCTCTCTGAATTTTACTGTGAAGCTCATTCCAATTCATGTCTGCATCAGACTGTGAGCTTCGTTTCCTTCTTCATGCATGAGCATGTTTCATATCCTCATTTTGGAATGAGCTCCCCAAAGGGTTGTTGTGTCTGTGTCTTTTTAACTTTTGTTAAATTTTCAATTTTGTTAACTGCCCAAAGCGCCTTGGTGACTGGATGATATATAAATGAATTAAATTAATAAATAATATTTCTTCATCTACACATTTTCTTCTATTGATTGAAGCATGTTAATGTGCCTTTTTCAAAGGCACATGTTATTCAGTGTAAGTTTCCCAAATTTACTCAGTTTCTTGTTCAGCAAGCCATGTCACAAGCTCAGAAATGTAGAGATTTCAACCACAGATTTCATTCCAATCCATGTTCTAGTCAAGGAAGTGCGAACTGGTAAATTCTGAACAAAAAGAAATGCATCCTGCATCTTTTAGACAGGGAAGTAAAAATCTCTCTCTCTCAAACTGCAAATCTAGGTAACAGCATAAACACACACACACCGTTCTAGAGAAGGGCCAGTGCCTACAAATCGCTGTTCAGAATGTTGCTTGTTCAGATTTAACACCGCTATGGATGAGCTCCAGCAAATCTCACAAAGTCCAGTTGACTGACTGATAGACAGACCAGGGAATTGAAGGAGCCTGATTAGCTTAACCAACGCCATTTGCCTTTTGCAAAACTGCTTGCCTCAGAGAGGAAAAGAAAAGGCAAAAGAATGTTGATAAAGGGAGGCAAGGAAACAGTGAGTGAAGAAGACCCTCTACGCGAGGTCCGCACGCAGTGATCTCGCTGCCCCTGTGAGGGAACTGGATGTAGATGAGCACCGGCAAGAGGCCAGGCATGCAGGGGACATGCAGACCCCGCGAGGGGATTGGGTGAAGGGCCAGGCAGACCTCGCGAGGGGATTGGGTGAAGGGCCAGGCAGACCCCGCGAGGGGAAGGGTGAAGGGCCAGGCAGACCCCGCGAGGGGATTGGGTGAAGGAACAATGGGGCGAGATTGAGTGAAAGAAGGTGAAAGTATTAGAAGGGTCAGTTGGAGGAATGTGTGTGTGTCGTTTCCTGCCTGTGTGTACGGAGCGGACACCTGGTTGCTTTGCTCAGCTGAATAAAGAAACTGAAGGAATCTCTGCCTGACTGAACCTCACTGTCACCTGGTTTGGTGGGTCTGTGGTCACCTGGCTAGCAGGGACACCTACAGAACAGCTTCCAGAAATACCCTTAATTATATACAAATGATTTGGTCTCAGTTGTTTTTCTCTTCCTAATACGATTGCAGCCTGCTCCCCCCGCCCACTCCCTGGATCTTTGTGCCCCACTAATGTGTACTTGTTCTCCCGCACCCCATACCCATTCTAATCCTCAGCCCTTGTAAACACAAGTCAGCAACTTCAGGTCTGCCGGTTAATAATGTAAGTAGTAGTTACAAAGCAGGTAAAATGCACATCTTCCCATTGCTTCCCATTGAAATCAATGGGACATTCATAATGATGGCATTCTAGAGACTGTTGTCAATCTAATTCATACTACTGTTTATCCTCATGTAGAATTTCCCAAGAAAATTCAGCCAACAAGCATTTTGAGTACAGCTGGAAGTTGCCTGGTTTAATTCATTTATCCCGAGCATTAGTTGCAACCAATCTTCAGCCTGAGACAAGCCCGCTATTTCCAAAGGGCTGCATAACTGCTTCTGTTGTTGACTGACAATTCCATTTTTTCCCCTAATGGCAGCAAGGGATATTGTACAAGCAATCCACACAAGCACTCCTTGGTTTCCCAAGTGGTAATTAGCTAAAATGCAATGCAAATACAGAGCAAAAATCACTGGTATTTCCAGAATGTCCTTGAGAGAGTGAGTGAATGTATGTGTCTATTTTTTAAATTCAGCTTCATACTCTTAGAACTAGTGATTTTCCAGTTAAGAAATGGCCTGAAATTGGGAAAAAGTTATCAGAAGTGTGAAACTGAACTGATTTTATATGCAGTCTAGACCTCACTGCCAAGATCCCTCTTCCTGCTATTGATTTGTTATTTATTTATCATATTAATATGATGCCTTTTTCCCTTCCAAGGAACTTGAAGCAGCATACATAATGCTATGTAATTACATAATTCCTGCTATGACCTCTGACATCTCACTTCCTTTACCGAGAGGTGGGGAGGAAGCCATTTTCGTAACAGGCCTCAAGTTACAAACTCCAGATGCTGCGTGAAAAATGAGCAGAGTGTCTAGGGGCTTCAGGAATCCCACGGTAGCAATGATCCACATGCTGGTGGCAGCATCTAGGACCAAACACGTTGTTCTGTGCACTCCCTTGCCGTGTTGACTGTGGGAAAAGGAATGAGCAGCAGGGACGGTTCTTGAAGTCCCTGAAGTCTGAGTCTTCCTGGGCCTGGTCTCTGGACTGGAGCTTTGCCTGATCTGAAATTAGCCCGTCCTCCTAATTCAAATGCTGACTCTCACTTATGTCAAGAAGTAGATGTTGTGAAGATAGTGGATGGCGGCCCACTGTAAGTTACTGAACTCATGGTGAGGCTGCAGCATGTGCCACCATTCTGACCGTGCAGCACCACTCAAAGGTTGTCATGTCATATGAGCCTGGCCGGGATGGGTTGAACAACACCCACATAATCCATTAGGGCTGTTTAAGCCTCACACAGCCCATGCTCACCAGGTCGGCACTACATGTAAGCCAAAGCAGGACTGGATATGCAAAAGGGCATCTACAGGCATTGTGACTTGTTGTGGGTTAAATAACTCATGTTGTTGTATCCTATACAACCCAGTCAATGCCTAGTGAAATTTCAGAAAATAGGAGGCATCTTCAGTAGACAGGGCCTGGGGCTTTCACACCCTCTGCAGCTTATTACTTTTTTTTCTTTTTGGTGGCTAATCTAATATTATTATCTATTTTTTCAAACTCACTTTCCTAATCTCCATAAACACCCCTCTCTTCATTGCCTTGGGGAAGCAAACCTGGATCTGAGAAGCAGATTATGCAACCAACTGAAAGCAGATTAAACTATGCAATGTGCATATTTGCATATTTTCCAATCATACATTTTGGGTTTAAAAACTTTTTACCAAGAGCATAAATTATCAACCACGCTCCAAAAAACCCTGTGTGTTTCTAAACACTCCGTTAGATACCCACCTGTTATATCACATTGAGCATAATTTACATTTAATACGCGAACAATTTGGATCGGGACTGGCGATTAGTAATAGGACAGTGTACCGGGACCCCTCTTCCTGATACTTCCAAACTTACCTCTAATTGCTGGCCCCATTCAAAAAGCCCCACTATCCTGTCCCGCCACCCTGGCTCCCATTCCCAGTTGTGTAACTGGTGGCTGCTACCGGATAAAAGCAATCCCCTTGTAACTGCCCTTCCTCTCCCCTCTCCCTTCCCCTCAGCAGCAGGGGAGGTGAGAAGGAGGTCTGTCCCTCACACCACCTCTTTCCAGCCTATACCTGTAATACTGTTGTGGCTCACGAGGGAGCATGTAGGTCTTGCAGGACATCTCCTAGCATGCCGCTACAGGCATCCAAGGGGTGGAGGGAGAGAAAGTGAGACCGGTGTTCTAGCTTTGCGGCTACAGCCAACACAGCAACAACACCCCAGGATGGAGGTGGAAGTCGGGGGAGCTCCTCCAGCTCAGAGCTGACAGGGATGGCAGAAAGGTCTGCTTGGTATGGAAGGACAGCCCTGTGTTGGGCCAGGCTTTGTGTTCCCTTGCAGCCCACATTCCTCATCATTTTTAAGCCCATTGAGAAGGCAGCTACTGTTATAAAAGAAAATGGAAAGCGAGATAAGGATTCAGGCCATCACCAGACATCAGGTAAGTGGAAACAAGGTAAGTAAGCAGAGTCCTCACCTTTACGTTGTAGGGAATGTAGTGTTTTGATAAAGCCTCAGGAGTGTGCATCCACGTTTTGTCTGCAAAAGAAAACACACATGCACACATAACTTAGGCTAATTTGATCTCATGCTATTGATGTTCCTGTTTGATAGGCAGCCATTTTTTTCTATTCTAATCTTTGTGCCATAGTTTTGATTTTCTTCCTAATGGTTAAAACAAGGTTAGAGCATTATCACATATACAGTACATAGCGGCTATATGAATTCCTCTTGCGGGCACAAAGATGGAAAGATAGATAGATGTCCAAGGCACTGATAGGATCATGAATTTACATGGGGCTTTCAGATTCCTCAACTGCTTCACATACATTGCCTGTGCAACCTCACAGCTCTATGAGAACATAGGCCAATATTATTATTCTCATGTCCTAAAGAAGAAGTAAGGCTAAGATATTACTGCTTTATCTACTGTGATTCTTTGAGCCAAAGTTTTAGATGCAAGTCTGGCTGTATGTGCCAAATTTGGGTACAACAGCTGCTATTGTACCGCCCAGGAAGGTGTGCACTGCTGCTCTGCTTGGAGGAAGAAAAGGAAGGATAGAAATAGCTATTTTGGATGCTGGTCTGGTCTGCTATTTCTTCCTCATGAAAAGTCAGACAAGAGTTGCAGAAATAATGAACTTATTTATACACTGTAGGACTGTATGGATACAGCTCTTTTTTAACACACAACTCAACCCATTCTTATGATCATGTGTCCAACACAAGCGATCCCCAACAGAATAGAACAAAATGCTTCTGAATTCACGTGATTTCACCCTTTCCCAACTTGGCTCCGAGTCCCAAAGGCATAACCCAAACGCTTGGCCTTACTGTGCTTCTGAAAGATATTTTGACTTCGGCAAGCCTGCACCAAGAGAATATTCTTCATGCTCTGGTGGTTTGAACAACAGCTCTAAATGGAGCCAGTAACAGCACTCCCAGAGTGAATTTCAGAGACTTTAATGGGGCACAGGGGAGGAGGCAATCTGTTACATGCGTTCAGCCATCCCTGTTGCACTGCGAACAGGGTTCAATCAGCCGTTGTTTATGTTGCTCGTACATGCCGTGCAACAACAGTGGAGAAGAGCTGTTAAGAAAACTGCGACAGCCCTGTTCTGATCCCAAGAAAGAGTCTGCTGTGAAGCTATTATCAGCATCAGGTGTCCACATATGGAACCTGGGAGGCTGGCTGGGGATGAGCAGTGGCCTACAGCCTCAGCCACCGCTGAAAAGATGGGGATGTCTTGCAGTGCTCCCTGCAAACGGCACATGGTACCAGTGATGAAACCCTCCCTCTGCTTCACCCGTGCCCATATTTTCCCACAGTTTATTAACATGAGTATTTCAGATATAGATGGATGGGTGCAGTCTTCAAGTTTAACAGTGACAGGAGGCCCAAAGTGTATTTCCAATGAGACAAGTCAGAGGGTCCCACTCTCTTCACTGGCCTGACTGTGCTGTTCTCTTTAACACTCCACCTGCTTCAGTTCACACAGCTGCGCCTTCCTAGGCTCCGAAGAGGAAGGGGCTAGATCTGCATCCAGAAGGGAGGGCAAATTCCTAAGCCTTCCCTCAAGCAGTGCGACTGCCTTTTTCCCCTGTGGGCAGAACAGAAACTGGGACTGGGCTGCCTCAGCTCCTTCTGCCCTATTACCGACCCACTGTTGCTGGCTTCCCCTTCACCATGTCATACGGTGCCAGGGTGGGCCAGCTGTACCCGAGCAATGTTAGTGTCTTCCTTCCCCTCCATTTTGAATCCTGCAGATCATATGGCCACTTGATGTATTTATCAGGTGTTTTATATTGTAAGCCGTCCTGAGACGAACCGTAATGGACGGGATTAAAAATATCCTAATAAATAAATAATGCCACAGGAGTATCTGTGAAGTGGGAGAGGGGCCGGGTGCTTAGTTCCATGCCACATTCCTGACTAGTTCAAGCAAACTTGTTTGATGGGAATTAACACTGAATATCTCATGTATAGTCAGGCTTGGTCAGATAATTTTAATTCATGCCAAATCTTTATCGCTTCAGTAATAAGATTTCTTCCTCCTCGATGTGAGGATTTTTCTTTTTTTCTTTTTTTGGTTCCACAAGGCATATTCAAGGATGCTGAGTTGATAGCGTCCTAGCAGATAAAGTAGTACATAAATGTTAATAATAAATTCAAATTTACTTTTTAAAAGCTTTTGCACTCATGCTTTTGGAACTATAATGTAATAGTACTTTGGAGTGGAGACATTTCAAAGCACTATTACATTCTAATTTTAAAATTTCATTTGAACACATTCTGGTATTTTTTATTCATTGCTCTGCCAGTCTTGGTAATGTGTATTGGACTTTACTGGCTTCTCTGCACGTAGTACTACTTCATTCTGAATGTAGAGAAACTTAAGTCACCTAAGACAAAATTGTTTCATATTTAATTGGATGTACTAACCTGTTTCAGACTGGCACTATTTGTTTAAAATAGATTTAAAAAGTCTCCATATTATCCACCTGTTCTTCACATATGTTTGTCACAGACTTTCTTCTTATTTACACCTGCATTTGGAAAGTCTACACTATTTTGTATTGAAACTATCTTGATGCCTTATTGTGCTTTGACAACAGGAGTGAATTGTTTTATGAAATACATTCCCATTCTGTCCTCAATTAAACTTCTTAATGTAAGATTTTATGCTCAAAATTTTAAGAACCTGCTAAATAACGGAAGAAAGCAAAAGAAATATGCATTATAAAAACAGAAGAAATAACATATACCATACGATCCTGTCTTTCACAAGGTAAAAGAAAGCATTCTGGCTTTGTATTTGGTTTTGGGGTGGTAATCTAACCTTTATACATGTTGGCTCACAGGGACTTAGTCTTATAGCTAAGTCTTATAACTAAGGTGATTCCCATTTACCTATTTGAGAATCTTATAACAACTTCAGACCTGCTTCAAAAATGTTATCTTTTCCCTCCAAATAGACAGTCTTCAGTGTAAATCGAAAAGATCAATGACATTATGTTAGAGTGACTCCTTTCAATTACTTTCCGGTTGCTATGAGTAGTACTGAGTTGGTAGAAATTATGTGAGTGACTTGTTTATTTACTCATGCCACACAGGCCAAGCTGTTGGTGGACATCCCGGTAGATTAGGGTGGCAGGTAGATAAAGGAAAGCGTGCTGAAGTTAACCCTGGGGGAGCATCTTAAGATAATGGGAGGTCTCCTCAGATCTGCCCATTTTGAGACTATTAAGCTAGAAGGTGCAGAGGGCAGTCCTAGCCCTATCCCCTTTCATGTGGGGTTTGGCTGATTAGCCTGAACAAAGCCATGAGGCCTGGGGGGTAAAAGTGAGCAGGCCCCTTTGGAACTTAAAGATGTGAGTTATGGATAAGTGAGAGGCTAAGCATTGCTCCAGATTCAAGGGCGTTGCTCATAAAGTCTTGGACAGTAGGAAGGAAGTTTTTCAACCACAGTCTAATAAAGAACACACAATGGAGGGTGGACTTATTTATGTCAAGCTATTTCCCCCTGAACTGAAATAAGTTTCAAAACTTGGGTCACCTAATACAGCAGGACGATTTTAAAGTAAGGCCATCTCCGCATTTCAAAATGATAATTACTGGATAGGCTACTGAATTCATTATTGTTACCAAGTCGAGTTAGGCTTTTTATATCTTCAAGAGCAGATATGCCTGTGGAAAGGTATGCCCAGAAGGCCAGAGAGGTTATTGCAAATACCAAAGCCTCCGTGTGTGTGTGTGTGTGTGTGTGTGTGTGTGAGCACATGCACATGTAGTTTCAAGAGAAGAGACCTCATTTCTGATCACTGTCCTCTCTGCTGAAGAATAACCTGCATGCCTGAGTAGGCCAGAAGGCTACATAATACTGGGGGCAGAGCTTAGCAGGCCGTGGAGAAACTGGCTGATGGGAGCAGCTCTGAGAAGCTACACACAACAAATCACCCCAGGAAGAAAAGGAGACAGGGCAAGGCACCCTGTCTTAACACCTGAGCCATTCTTGGGGGCTGAGGAGGAAAGGAGCTGCAGGATTTGACATGCTGAATGGGCTCCCAGGGTGAGTAGGTGGTCTAATGTGGAGGGAGTGCCTTTGCTAATGTTGTTCCTACAAGAAAGAGCACATCAAAGGATTACTAGCTTGCCTAATCTTCCCCTAAATACAGGGGGATTATGAACTTTTGAAATCTGCATTTGAACACCCATTTGAACTTCCATTTTGCATGGACTTGGGCATGACTTACCTGAAAGTCTGACGGCAGCTAATGTTAATGGGTAGCTTGCGGAGCATCCAAGCAAAAGTTAATGAAGCAACCAATAGAGCAATATGGGCCATGAGTCCCCTAACTTCAGTCCCTGTTGGGAAATGAAAGAGGCAGTTCCACTTGGCACATGTTTCAGCCTGGAAGTTTCAGACTCTTCAGATGGGGAAGATGGGCCCTGAGAGAGTGGGCCTCCAGACATCAAGATGGAAGAAGTGGAGGGGCTTATCTCAAGGCCATCCTCTCTGGGTGAGTAGGAGACTCTGGGAGGGCTCTGGGTGGACTCTGAAAATAGCTAGGATCTACAACTGCCAGGAGGGGGTGTGGGACAGGAGTTCTCTTGACCCGGCATAGGGAGAGGAGGACTAGCCAACTACAGAGGTTTGGAGCTTGCCTGCCTCCAAAAGGGTCCTCTCAGAGCAAGGGGGCTCAGGGCTGCTCAAAATGAGGGCTCTTGGAAGTAATTATTTACACTGGGTCCAACAAACTGCAGTGCACATGCTTAGAGTTCCTTGTGCTTATTGGATGCACTTTGGAGAATAAAGAGCTTCGTTCAACAGAATGGTCTGTTGCTTGGAAAGTATGAAGAAGGAAACCTAGCTCCCAATAGTCTCTTATATTCTGTAGATGGGGCATAAAGCATGGTTGCATGGGCATCTGGGACATGATACGCTAACAACTAAGGGGGCTACAAGATTCCCTTGGCCAGGATTGGGGAATGCAATAACACATTGGGGTTGAAGCTGCAGTCACTATAAAGCAAGGAC